GTTCATATTTGGCGTGGGAAAGATGGGTGCAGTTGTTGTATTTGTCACCTGGTGCAGAGTTCACAAACAAAAACAAATTTCTGCTAAATGCTTCTGTTTGCTAATCAAATTGCTTGCAAACAAAAGTGTTTTGAGGCACCACTGTGTTTACCAAGAATGATAACCATTATTTAAGTGGCTACGAAGGCCCTATACATCTTTATTTGTCAGGAGTGACTCTCAAAGCATACCCAGGCCATGTGAGTCTCCACTACTTCCTCCTCACTTCTTAGTAAACACCACAGAAATCTCCTACTACATTTACCCACCAACCCACTTTGTAAGTTGTACAATCTCACGAGGATAGATTTGTGACAATGACAGCCTCAAGTTTCGCCTTAAACTTTCATAAATATGCTAATTCCTTGCCCTTCTTAATACCTGCTTTTGTTTGGGGTAAATGTTCTTGCCCAGGGGGCTCCTAAATTGCCTTGGGCCCTACACTCAAAAGACAAAAGCACTCCTCCAGAATCCTCTCCTTGGCTTCTCAAACTTGCCCAAATGAGCACCACTGGAAAGGTGGGGAGCTCATAAAACACTCCCCAAACTTTCCTGAGCCACCTGGGGCACTTGCTAAGCATATACTTCACCTGGTCTCTCCTCAAGCAGCTGATTCAAGTAGACCATTTTAATCAGCATCCTAGGGGATTCTGGAAGGACCTCCTTGCCGAAGGCATCGAGGCTGGTCTCCCTTCTACCACCTCCTCCCAGGCACTCTCCCTTCCCAAGAACCTTCCTTCCGCCCAGTCAAAGCTAAGACTTTTTCTCCCCAAGTGCAGCCACAAGGATTTCTCAATTCCTGCTGCAATTATTCATGCAACCCAAGGTACTATTTGGCCTTTTAAGTCTTTTGTTGTTCATTAAAGGTTTTATATACATCACTATCAATTTAGTATTTTTCTAGGTCAAGTCTAGTGTCAACACACAGCTAGCTTTTGGGGATGTGGCTCAGTGCTAACAGCTCACCTACCATGTGGGAGTCAGAGTCAACCCCCAGTACTGCAAAAGCAAACAAGAGACAGCAAGGAAGGTTAGTGATTTGCAAACGTTCATGTAAAAGTCGAAGCCAGGTGTGGAGGCACATGCCTACAATCCCAGTACTCTTGAGTAGCTAAAGCAGGAGGCTCCCAAATTCAAGCCCAGCCCAGGCAATTTAGCAAGACCAAGTTCCAGAATAACAATATAAAAAGGGGTTGGAGCTGGGTACGATGGCACACACACCTGTAATCCCAACACTGGGAGGCTGAGATGGGAGGACTTTGAGTAAGGCCAGTCTGGGCCACACATCTCAAAAAGAAAGAAAAGGTGGGAACATAGGTCAGTTTGAAGGCCCTGGGTTCAATCCCCAGTGCCACCCACCCACCTACACACACACAGAGTTGAATGTGATTCTGGAGCCACATTTATTATCCAAAAAGCCCCTCACAGTTCATTGTATTTAAACTGTTACCACTGAGTGCTACAGGAAAATAATACCTTAGTTCCCGCACAAGGAAAGCAATCTATTCTGTGGATGTCTGGTAATTACAATCTTTCCCGGTTTTTCTGCCTCCTAAGTAGGTTACTCATACAGTTAAGGGACATACCAAATAAAAGCTGCCTCCTCATCTGAGCTGGTATTTGCCTTTAAAATTGTACCAAGAAAAAAGCAATGTGTTCTAGCAAAGAATAGCAGTCCAGCCAGCTCTTCATTATCTGAGGGATCTGGTGGATAGGATTTATAAGCCCACAGATGACTCCCAAATGTATCCCATCCAGTACAGTAACTGTGGCAACTGCTGCCTCTTTATGGAGGCTGCTACCTTTGCTTGAGAAGAGGCAAAGTGCTGGGATCATTTCCCAGGTCCCCTTTAAATGCCAACAACCCAAAACTCCAAAGGGACTGTACTTACCTTCCCAGCAATTTCCAATGCCAAGGCCACACATTAGGGAAAGAACTAATCATCACTGGGGCCAGAGGGTGAGATTCACTATTAGCCCTCCCAAGAATCTCTACAGAGGCAGGCATGATGGTACATGCCTATAATGCCAGCACTCAGGTCCCCTCTGCCTCCTGAGTTTAAGCCAGCATCAACTACGTAGTGATACTGTCTCAAAAAACCAAACCCCCCCCCCCCAAAAGAATCTCTACAGGGAGAGAAGCTTTCATCTCCTTGAATTCCTATGTCACATGTGGGTAGAGATGTCCCAATTCTGGAACATTTAATAATCTCTTTAGCATGTGTGAGGCCCTGAGTTCAATCCCAAGCACCAAAAAAAGCAATCTAGACTATTCCAAAGTTTCACCGTTATTTTTGTTCAGGAATGTGGAATCCAAGAATCTGCTTTTTCGTGTGGTTAAGCTTCCCCAGGCTGACCTTGAACTTGCAATCATCTAGCCTTAACCTGAGCCTCTCAGAATTATAATGTGTGCTACCATACCCAGCTAGAATCTGCATTTCTAAAAAAATGGTTCTGAAACTGAGAAAAAGCTGCCCATGCTGCAAAGAGGCTCTTCCCTCACCCTTCCTCAACTACAACAGCTTAAATACTGTGAAAGTTGTTCAATGTTTTCTTTTTTAAAAAAAATTTTTGTTATTTTTTGGTTCTGGGGATCAAACTCAGGACCTTGCACTTATGAGGCAGGACCAGAACCACTGAGCTAAATCCTCGGCCCGATTTCTTTTTACACTGAGGCCTGGGACATGCTACACCATCAGGTCTTTCAATTTTTTTATCTGTGGAGTCAAGGGGTTTCCGACACATTTTTAAAAGCTCTTGGGCCAGAAGCCTTACATTGTAAGTGCTCTATCTGATCAGACCATTTACCCCTTAGTTCACACAGCTGCCTGGGCAGACATAAGCTACCTGTGCTTCCAAGATGTTCCTGGTGAGCACTCTGGGGACCGTGGGGAAATGTAGGATATGAACTGGTACACGAAACACTCACTGGTTTTCTTTGAATTTTTCAATGTTCCTTTTGAACTTTCAATAAGAAAAAACACCCAAACAGTTATTTCACAATGTACCAATTTCCTACAGAATTAGAGGAAAAATATCTGACACTGATATTAACTCTAGACAATAGTGTTTAGAGTCTCGAGTAACCAGTATAATACCTTACTGTTAAAGATACATCCTAGCCTAATCCAGATGTAACCCCAGCACTCTGGGAGGCTGAGGCAAGAGGATTCCAAATTCCAGCCAAGCCTGGACAACTTCATGAAACCCTTTTTCAAAATAAAAATAAGTGCCAGGCATGGCTGCACACGCGTGTTATCCTAGCACTTGGGAGGCTGAGGCAGGAGGATCACCGCTGTGAGTTCTAGGCCAGCCTGTACAGAGCTAGACCCTGTCTCAAAAAAACAAAACAAAAATGAGCTGGGGATGTAGTTCAGTGGGAAGGCCCTGGGTTCAGTTCTCAGTGATAAGGAAAAAAAAAAAAAATCACTAAAAAATAAAACCCAGCCTAGCTGAGCATGATGGCCCACATTTGTAATCCCAGCACTCAAGAGACTGAGGCAAAAGGAATCCAGTTAGAGGCCAGCCTGGACTACACTGGCAGACTGTCTAAAAAAAAAAAAAGAAAAAAAAAAGCTGGGTATGGTGGCCCATGCCTGTAATCCCAGCCTCAAGAGGTTGAGGCAGGGAGATGTGAGAATTCGAGGCCAGCCTCGGCTACACAGTGAGATTCCATCTCAAGCAAACAAAACAAATCATCCACCAATAATTAAAAATCTTGGCTTGACATAAAGATGATCACTGTTAAACAAGGACACGTTGAAAAACTGGAGATTGCCAGGCATGGTAGCACACGCCTGAGATCCTAGCACTTGGGAAGCTGAGGCAGGAGGATCAACTCGAGTTTGAGGCCAGCCTGGGTTACATAATGGGTTCAAGATCAGTCTGAACTACAGCCACTGTCTCAAAAAAAAAAAAAAAGACAAAGACAAACTGGAGATGTAGCTCAGTGGTAGAGTGCCCCTGGGTTCCACCTCTAGTACCCTCAAAAGGAAAAGACATGCGAACCAATACTTTCACTGCTCAACTTGTCCTTAAATTAATCCAAAACTTTCTTACCAAAATGTAGTTATTTATACGAATGTCTTAAATACCAGTAATCTAACAAGCGCATTCTAAAAATAATCTAACACACTAATTGCCAGTTTTGAAGGAGAAACTATTTCACAATTTTCAAAGTATAATTAATTATGTAATTTGTGGCCACAGTAATGTGCCCCGAGGCAGAAATCAAGGTGGCAAAAAAGGGAAGCCTTGAGTATATGACAGTTTACGAAACTGGATCGAGGCGAATGGAGGCATCAGG